AACATTTGACACTTTAATTTCAACCTTGATGATCAGTTTTGCCAGGGTTAAACATTTAACAAAAAGGGAAAATTCCATGTGAACAAGTTGACATTTCCACTATCAAAGACATCAACAGCATTATCATATTTCCTTGCAATATTCCATGCTCCGTAGATTACGGAGCTAGTTTTGCCGCTTCTGCTTCACTGATTGTTACTCAGGATGAGCATGTTCCAAATATAACCACAAAATCCTTGTCTACTAGGAACACTCACTGAAGCAATTGCCTCTATCCAACACAAGACCAATCCTATCTACAAAACATGTTCATCTATTTTATCATATTTATATGTTTTGCTTGTTTTTTCTTGTACGCCGCACTCAGCAATATTCCAGCTATATGACGGCGGTCTGTAAATAATCTAGTCTGGACAGACAATCCAATGATTGACATCATGAGCATCGATCCACGCAATTGGGATAGGATGACATGCATCAACCAAGTCAGCGAGCTGACCACCCGATCCCGTTAGTCGCCTCTTACGACAAGCATATAGTCAGTTTTTATGGCAAGCATGGGTTGCTGAAGACCTTTTCTACCCCCGAAACTTCACGGGTCTTGAAAAGACATGTCAGTTGTCCAACCACCACCAAGCTGAAGACCAGTACTTATATATGGACCATGTTCAATTGTAATAGAGTACGCTGCTATTGTAACTAAACTTGGTTGTGTTTGTTCGTTGTTTCACGACACAGTCATGGATCGTTTTTCAGGAATTTGAGCTAAACTGAAAAAATATAACGTCAAAGCCACAGAATACTTAGTCTCGATAATCTGCTAAAACAGATTCCACTTGGCATTAAAGGACAAAAAAACAGTGAAAATGATATGGATGGTTTACTGATAATTGCTGAGTGCGGCGTTAAACAACAAACAAACAAAGTATTTGCGATGGGTATTATCGGATGTACATGATACTCTCATCTTTTGTGAACACCTGATTTCATCGCTATTTGATCAATATTCACAAGCACGTGTTCGTGAGTGAGTGAGTTGGGTTTATCGCCGCTTTTAACAGTATTCCAGTTATATCACGGCGTGTCAGCTTAATGTGGGAGGAAAGCCCGAAGTGATGCAGGTCTCAGACGTTTACCACTTCGGTGAAACCCACCATTTACGAGTTATAGTGTTCCGGAAGTGAAGTGAGTGAGTGAGTATGGTTTTACGCCGCTTTTAGCAATATTCCAGCAATATCACGGCGGGGGACACCAGAATGGGGCTGCACACATTGTACCCATGTCGGGAATCGAACCCGAGTCTTCGGCGTGACGAGCGAACGCTTAAACCACTAGGCTACCCGACCGCCCCTCCGGAAGTGAAACCGACCTACATCTCAACAAAGTCCATTTTGTTTAGCCCTTTCAAACGAATAATTAATATAATTAATAGTAGAAACTACCAGTTCAGCACTTTTCTGATATTATGCAAACTTTCACAAGAAAGTGATATAGAACAGCTTATGAGTTAAACTCCGAAATTGAACCCGACTCTATGAACTCTATGAACATAAATTCAATGTATTGCCTTAGTTCGTCTCCGATGTGTCTACAAAGTTTCATGATTAATGTTGAACAGGTTATGAATAATGCTTAGGAAGAGAAACCCAACCTTCATTTCCACAGTCACATTTTCTGCCGTGAAAACGCAAACAAAACGAACACATTTTTGTTAATCTTGAATAACAAAAAGCACTTTTAACAGTTTGCTGGTGTGTGTACAAAGTTCCACGTTATGGTCCCAAAGCGAACTGTTTTTTCTAACCTACCGTAAATATTAGAATAATGTTATATCATAAATGCCGATTCAAGCGACACAACGAAGAGTCATCGAGGAGAGACATTGGAAACAATATTGAATTGTTTCACACAAACAATGCCTGCCTAGGATGAACGCCGATATAAAGGATTCCTGGGGTTTCCAATTGTCGCATACATGCAAACAAAATACAAATTGAAAACTTCAAAGCGCCCTCTATGAGTAGCGTGCACAAAGTAAACTAAGAGTCAGAAAGTTAAACAAATATAATAAGAGCCTACAGCTATGTCTGACCAGACATTTTACGTACACTTTTAATGACTATGCGTTTCATGGAATGTACAAGCGCGCATTTACATTTCTACAGCAAAACGTGCGATGCATGTGGTCATCAGTTATTTTATTTCTTTTAATGTTGATATAGATTGTGTTCAAGTATACCATAACCATATAGGCTGGATACCACTTTGTGTAATGTATTGTGTACATTGTTGTCAGTATATGTGTTTAACTTTGTCTACGAGCACTGGCGGATCAAGAGTGGGGATGAGTTTCGCATCCCCCTTTTTCAGATAACTTACATGATAACTCCCACCCAGCCCCTTTTTTAAAAATCATGTATCCGCCTCATGTAAATACAGGAAGTTATTAAAATATGCTTGCGGTTTATTATTAATGCATAACACATTTCGCGTTACGGCAAAAGGTAGAAACTCTTACAATCTGTGTACGTTACAAAAGCTTTGTGGATCTGTCGTACATATTAGTAAAATTATCTTAATTTCGATCGTTAACTCTTACAATCTGTGCAAGTTACGAACGCTCTGTGGATCGGGCTCTTGACTTCCAACTAGAATAGCCACTGAGATGTGCTACACAATATTATTACTCCGGTCGAAGGATCAGTATGCACTCCAGCTTCAGCTCCTGGGAAGTATACAACACAAAGCATTAGACCCGTAGGGATCTGGGATAGAATAGGTCTTCAGCAACCCATGCTTGCCGTAAAAGGCGACTATGTTTGTCTTAAAGGCGACTAACGGGATCGGGTGGTCAGGCTCGCTGACTTGGTTGATGCATGTCATCGATCCGAATTGCGGGGATCGATGCTGCGGATGTCAATCACTGGATTGTCTGATCCAGACTCGATTATTTACAGACCACCGTCATATAGCTTGAATATTACTGAATGCGGCGTTAAACAACAAACAACAAAAGTTGCATTACCATATCATCCTTCCGGCCATCCATTCAATGCCGGGGAAACAGAGGCATATTTCGAACATATCTACTTGCCGAGGGAGACATCATGTGTCACGTGTTTTAGTGTGGGGCAGGATCGAAGCCCCAGAAACTTACAAGAGTCAAGCTTGCTTCACGATGGGCCTCCCCCATCAACATGTACGCGACCATCGTTGGTCTACTTCGCCTCATTTGTTACCTGTTCTCTGTACATCGGTCCAAGGGACACCCTCAGCATGTTGATTAATATCATCGGTGCCCAGTTACTCAACTAATGAACAAACGAATAGTACAATCATATCATCGGTGCCCAGTTACTCAACTAATGAACAAACGAATTGTACAATAATATTATTGGTGCCGAGGTACTCCACTAATGAACAAACTAATTGTACAATAATATTATTGTTGCCTCGTTACTCCACTAATGAACAACGGATAGTACAATAATATTATTGTTGCCTCGTTACTCCACTAATGAACAACGAATTGTACAATAATATTATTGGTGCCGAGGTACTCCACTAATGAACAAACGAATTGTACGATATTATTATTGTTGCCTCGTTACTCCACTAATGAACAACGAATTGTACAATAATATTATTGGTGCCGAGGTACTCCACTAATGAACAAACGAATTGTACAATAATATTATTGTTGCCTCGTTACTCCACTAATGAACAACGGATAGTACAATAATATTATTGTTGCCTCGTTACTCCACTAATGAACAACGAATTGTACAATAATATTATTGGTGCCGAGGTACTCCACTAATGAACAAACGAATTGTACGATATTATTATTGTTGCCTCGTTACTCCACTAATGAACAACGAATTGTACAATAATATTATTGGTGCCGAGGTACTCCACTAATGAACAAACGAATTGTACAATAATATTATTGGTGCCGAGGTACTCCACTAATGAACAAACGAATTGTACAATAATATTATTGTTGCCTCGTTACTCCACTAATGAACAACGAATAGTACAATAATATTATAGGTGCCCAGTTACTCCACTACTGAACAAACGAATGGTACAATATTAGTATTGGTGCCCAGTTAATCCACTTATGAACAACGGATAGTACAATAATATTATTGGTGCCAAGTTACTCCACTAATGAAAAACGAATAGTACAATAATATTATAGGTGCCGAGTCACTCCACTAATGAAAAACGAATAGTACAATAATATTATAGGTGCCGAGTCACTCCACTAATGAACAATGAATAGTACAATAATATTATAGGTGCCGAGTCACTCCACTAATGAAAAACGAATAGTACAATAATATTATAGGTGCCAAGTCACTCCACTAATGAACAACGAATAGTGCAATGATATTATTGGTGCCAAGTCACTCCACTAATGGACAATGAATAGTGCAATGATATTATTTGTGCCCAGTTACTCCACTAATGAACAACGAATAGTGCAATGATATCAACCAAGTCAGCGAGCCTGACCACCCGATCCCGTTAGTCGCCTTTTACGACAAGCAGAGACCTTTTACGGCAAGCATGGGTTGCTGAAGACCTATTCTACCCCGGAATCTTCACGGGTCTACTCCACTAATGAACAACGGACAGTACAATAATATTATTGGTGCCCAGTTACTCCACTAATGAACAACGAATAGTGCAATGATATTATTTGTGCCCAGTTACTCCACTAATGAACAACGAATAGTGCAATGATATTATTGGTGCCCAGTTACTCCACTAATGAACAATGAATAGTGCAATGATATTATTGGTGCCCAGTTACTCCACTAAAGAACAACGAATAGTACAATGATATTATTGTTTGGGGGCGGGGTTGGTCGCATAAAATAAGGGAACAGCTCATGCTCATCGGTTATTAGGAGAATATTTTACGAACGCATTTCGCATCCGAATCCGATAGTTGGAATGGAATGGAGTTATGTCCCTTGTATAAACAGGAAGTTCATAGAGCGCATGCCAAAATACTTGTGTTTGGTCTGCATGGATTTGACAAGAATCGGCGACGATGATGTTTTGACAGTTGACATGGTAATACAGGAGTCTAATTCTTTATTGTTCATGTTCGTAAATCACCCCAAATAGTAAACCGTTGAGGTATGCATTGTAATTATGATAATTCTCATTATGAATGAATATTCTAATAGTATTATCGTGCGTTCAGATCGAGACAGTTCACTTTTCAGTTTGGTAGAAAACAACTTGAAACGGAGGGATCAGTTAGTGATGGTATGTGACTGTGTGTGTCATATCAACAGTACGTTGTTTATTGGAGTTCACACACAACACACACACACAGTGACAGTAACACTAACAATCTCATGCTTTGTTACATTGACTAGACCACGAAATCTTCTGGTGATATTTATCATATTTGTTCTTTGCAATAAAAAAAAAATAATTTTGTTCTGTATCATTTCCTCAAAATATCTGTGACGTTAAATCTTAACTCACTCACTCACTCCTCAAAATATCATTAAATTTGTGTGAATATTCATGATCATGATGATTATTGTCAATTCTATCCCCATAATCTATTTGATCTAAATACATCAAGATGTTGTTTCAGTAGGTATCACTGCTCACTTGAGGTCAGGAATAATGCATGTTACGGAACCCACAACAATGAAACCAAACCCTGACCAAAACTACAGGGCTGCAGGCTAAAACAACACCTCAGCAAAACGTCACCGATTTCTTGGGCGAAAACCGCAGCTCATTTGGCAACAACACCTACTAATTGACAGGCGAAAACGTCACCTCTGTTTTTAATAACGATAAGAACGATTTATGTAGTAGTATATATATGCTTTATTTACATGCTTTATTATGTTATGTTGTATGTATGCTTTCCTTGGGCGGGGCCAAGGTCTATTATCAGCAGAGACATTCCTGTGATGTCAGCTGCTAGAAGAAAGGGGAGATATATTTGAAATATCTATAAAATTGATATTTATCTTAACATTTGACAATTATTTGTGTTTGTAAGTGACCATGTGAGTTAAATTTCATGTATTTCAGTACCAAGGTATAAAAAAATAAGGTGACGTTTTCACCTGGCAATAGTAGCCTTTTGTTGCTTTAGGGGAGGTGACGATTTTGCCATTTGATGCCGTTTGGCTCGGTGACGTTTTGCTGAAGTGCCATTTTAGCTATAACCCAACTATACTAACTACATGTGTATCAAAATACAGGGGAATTTGGACAAGTTCCAAAAATTTTGGTTCCTATTTAAAACAATGAGTGTTTTTCTATTCTTAGCTGTGACACATCTGAAGAAGAAATTCCAAAAAACATATTGTATGATACAGTGTTTTACATAACAGGTAATTACTGCACATTTATTGCAAGTACTTTCTGAAAGGCAACCATTTATAAGTCATTGTAAGACCCTGTGTTATAGATTGTAAAAGAGTTCCAGATAAGTTGTGTATTTGTGTAAAATGCTCAAAAAAAATCATCATTACCCAGGTAGTTTTGAGCTACTTACTTTAAAATATGCATGGAAATTTTTTTTAAAAACCAATTATTTAAAAACACTGTGTAAGTACTCAGTATTCTTTTCAGCTGACGTACCTGTACATGGATTTTTTTACGGATACATATTTACTGATCAAATGTAAAATAACCTACTCACAGTCACAAGTTGGAATTACAGTGTACACCAAGGCCGACCGTGAAGATCCTGGGAAGAATAGGTCTTCAGCAACCGTAAAAGGCGACTATGCTTGTCGTAAAAGGTGACTAACAGGATCGGGTGGTCAGGCTCGCTGACTTGGTTGATGCATGTCATCGTATCCCAGTTGCGTGGATCGATGGTCCTGGTGTAAATCACTGGATTGTCTGGTCCAGACTCGATTATTTACAGACCGCCGTCATAAAGCTGGAATATTGCTGAGTGCGGCGTAAAACAACAAACCAAACCAAAAAAAACACCAAGGCCAAGGAATCCATTATCATGATAATTTCATGTAGATTACTCTCTAAGTATGTGATAACATTTAACATGTTTAACCCATAGATCAGCTGGATTCTTTTCCATCTGTTACAAATTCTTCAAGCTATAGCATGTATCAGATGATACTAGGGATGGTGTTGGTAACTTGGGTCCTAAGGTCCAGTGGGTCCAGAGTAGGACCCACAGGAATACCCGGACCCATGGTTAGTCACGTGATATATTGTAAATGACAATAAAACACCATGGTTTTACTACAAGTTGCTAATGTTCGTGTTTCTATCTGACTATGCACACATTCTTCCTGACTTTTATATGTTTGAGTAAAGATAAATTCAGTCATCTTTAGTGTATGCATGATCTGATCATTTTAAACTTGTATATCAATGGTTTTTGCTAGGGCTCCCAGCTGGCTCCAGTAAAATAGTTCCTAAGAGGACATTTTGTACCAAACCTTCTGCAGGTACCGAGGTATTTTCGGGTAAATGGGGGTGGGGTACCTGGGTGGTAAATTTGGCCTCGTCCCAGCCCTACATGATACCGTAGGTGTAATAATGTAAATGATATTTATAACAAAATATACCAACATTTCTTTCAAATATTCTATGGTTTGTTTATCTTTTCAGATCTGATGAAAATGATGCTGATTGACATGTGTTGAGGATCATTTGGAAGAGAAATACATCAAAAAGACAAAATGGTACTTTTGTGTTTTGTATGGGTCTTCAGCAACCCATGCTTGCCTTTAAAGCTGACTGCTTATCGTAATATGCAACTAACGAGATCGGGTGATCTGGCTCGCTGATGGATGTCATGTCATTGTATCCCAACTGCGTGGATCGATGCTCATGATGTCAATCACTGGATTGGACCGCCTCCGTGGTCTAGTGGTAGAGCGTCCCACCGGAGAGCGGAAGGTCCGGAGTTCGATCCCCGGCCGCGTCATACCAAAAGACGTTAAAAGATGGTACTTGTTGTTTCCCTGTCTGGCGCTCGGCATTAAGGGGCTAAAACAAGGACTGGTCGGCTCGGAGTCAGTATACTGTGTCTGAGTGGGGTATTCATGTTAAACTGCGCCATGGTATCTCAGTGAGCTAGCACTATAAATCGGCATCAGTCCGGACTAGTACAAGCAACCACACACACACGTGCATGCACGTCGCTATATAAGTGCAATAATCTTGGACGCGACATTAAACCCAAATTCACCTCACCTCACCAATCACTGGATTGTCTGGTCCAGACTTGATTATTTACAGACCGCCATCATATAGCTGGAATGTTACCGAGTGTGGCGTTAAACAACAAATAAACAAAACAACCTGTAAACTAGGCACCAACAGAAACTGCATTTGGCATGACTATATTCTTGGTGATGTTCATACTGTGATTGACCACAAGTCATCATTTTGTCAACATTGTTTTCAGAGCAAGTCAAACAAAGGTGGTGAATGTGTGAAGGTGGTGGTGAGATGTCGGCCCATGAACGAAAAAGAAACAGCCAGTGGGTTTAGTAGGTCAGTATTTGCTCTCATCTCCATGGTTGTATGGCAACAGGAACTTTATTAACTGTGTCATTATGATTTTATTCATGCTCTGATAACCCTGATATCTGGTTTTGAACCTTTCCTTCTATGAAGAATGAAACCATTTATGTACTAGTGTTCCACTTAACAGGTGGGGGGAACGGGTGGCCCAGTCGTCTAAGGTGCTGCAATTCGCTGTGGAGAGTTGCATCCCTTGGGCACACCAGAAACCTATTATTGTGGGTTCCAAACCTGGGTCGCCCCGATTATGTTTCTTTGTCAGCACCATACCCGTGCTCATGGGTTTCACTGAAGTGGTAAATGTCTGAGACCTGCATTACTTCGGGCTTTCCTCCCAGATTAAGCTGGCACACCGTGATTTAACCTGTTAACTGGAATAATGTTAAAAACGGCGATAAACCCAACTCACTCACTCACTAAACAGTTGGTCCACCTCAATTTAAAACATTCTGGTCCTGATATTATGTTGACTGGCATTTGTTTCGTGGACCAGTATACTTGTCCGAACTATATACACTATAGTGGGCCAAATGTTATTATGGCATTATGTTGTGTTTCCAGGGTGGTGAATATGGATGTGAACAGGGGCGTGATAGACCTCCGCAGTACCAAAGGCTCCACCACAGAACCGCCTAAAACTTTCACATTTGATTCCGTCTATGACTGGAAGTAAGTCTTTGTTAGTTAACACATAGTTTATTGTCCAAAAAGACAATGGAATTGGGCACAAGTGCAATATATGCCACCTTCCCGCTGAGTAAGTCTTGGACGACAACTGTTCTTTCCCATACAGAGATTGCTTTTTCCATCATTTTTCTATTATTTTATGCTTTGAATCCATGGGGATTCCGGGCAGAATTGGTCGCATGAAACCTATGTTGGTCATAAGTGGCGACCGAATGGAATTGGTTGTGGGGCTCACTGACTTGCTTGATAGTGTGGTTTTGTACCCTGACAATGTGGATCGTTGCTCACAAATATCATCACTGGATTTGCTGGTCCAGACTCAGTTATTTCCACATCGCTGTCATATAGCAGGAATATTGCTGGCTGTGGTGTTAAACAACAAACAAACATTTTATGCTTTTCTATGTCTTAAATTATATACAATTTCCTGTTAGATATTGTCTCACATTTTGTAAAGAGCAACATAAAACCATCTCACTCCTTGTCCTGTATGGGGCAGTCATCTTAGGTGCCCCTATCGGCTGTGTAGAGCTGCATTGCTTAGAAGTGCCAGACAGATCTATGATTCAAGATTGAATCTGGGTTCACCCTGGATATGTTACTTGATATGTCAGCGAACCATGAAAATCAAGGGTAGAATAGATTTTCAGCAACCCATGCTTGCCGTAAAAGGCGACTTTGCTTGTCGTACGAGGCGACTAATGGGATCCGGTGGTCAGATTTACTGACTTGGTTGATGCATGTCATCGTATCCCAATTACATGGTTGATGCTCATGATGTCAATCACTGGATTGTCTGATCCAGACTTGATTATTTACAAACCACTGTCATATAGCTGTAATATTTAAAAAAAAAACAAAAAAACTATGTACTCTACATCACTTTAGGCTTTCTTTCAATATCAAGCTGACACACCTTAGTACAACAGAAATACTGTTCAAAGCATCATTAAACCAAAACTTACTCACCCTGCTTTGTGTTGCTGACTACAGTTCCAAGCAGAGAGATCTGTATGACGAGACGTTCCATGACCTGGTGGAGTCGGTCCTGCAGGGATTCAATGGTACAATCTTTGCCTATGGACAGACTGGAACAGGGAAAACATTCACCATGCAAGGTATGGACAGACAACTTCTAACATGCTATCATCCCGATAACTTGATTCAGTGCTTTGTCAAATGACATACAGAGCACAGGTGGCCTTAAGTGACACAATTTGTATCCGAGTAGTGTCCCTTCAAGGGGTATGGGTGGCCAAGGTGTTGCAATTCACCATGCAGAGTTGCATCCCTTGGGCACACCTGGAACCTATGATTGTGGGTTTGAAACCTGGTTCACCCAGCTGCGTTAGAAATTAACAATGGTCCTATAGTCCTTGCCAAAGTGCCCAATAGTTAAGGTTTCATGAGGACTAGTAAAAATTTCTCCTTATAAACAATGATAAAGGTTTTGCTATATGCTAACATTATATGGACTAGGGGCGGTCAGGTAGCCTAGTGGTTAAAGCGTTCGCTCGTCACGCCGATGACCCAGGTTCGATTCCCGACATGGGTACAATGTGTGAAGCCCATTTCTGGTGTCCCTCGCCGTGATATTGCTGGAATATTTCTAAAAGCGGCGTTAAACCATACTCACTCACTTATGTGGACTAAAATTGTTACTTTCTAACGCTGCCCAAATTATGATTCTAAGTTTGTCTGCACCTTACCCATGGTTGTGGGTTTCGGCAAAGTGGTAAACATCTGAGACCTGCGCCACTTTGGGCTTTCCTGCCACATCAAGCTGGCACACCACAATATAGCTGGAATAGTGTTGAAAGTGGCAATAAGCCCAGCTCACTCACTCCTTTCGCCTTACAAGGATCCAACAAAGGTCTGTGACCTGAATCACTTGATGCTTCCCTGGCATATCAATCTGACATGTCTTGAAACAGCTGAACTATTCCAATGATTTGTCTTAATAATTGTTTGATTTGGTCTGATCTCTATGTTGTTTGTTTTGTCCAGGTGTCAAGAACGATCCAGAAATGCGAGGGGTGATTCCCAATTCTTTTGAACACATATTCCAGCATATTTCCCGCTCACAGAATCAACAGTACCTTGTTCGAGCGTCGTATTTAGAAATATATCAGGTAAGTATTACTTGATGTCCATGAAGTTGACAACAAAATTTAAGTGAAAAAATACTGCTTTGTGTAAAACAGCTTATTTTTTGGGTTGTGATTCTTGCCGTAAAAAGGCGACTATGCTTGTCGTAAAAGGTGATTAACAGGATTTGGTTGTCAGGCTCGCTGACTTGGTTTATACATGTCATCGGTCCCAATTGCGTGGATCGATGGGCATGATATTAATCACTGGATTGTCTGGTCCAGACTCGATTATTTTACAGACCACCGTCATATCATGCATATAGCTGGAATATTGCTGAGTACGGCGTTAAACAACAAACCAACCAACCAACTGAAGGAAAAAACGGTACTTAAGGTATTTGATAATAAAGGTGGTCATGTGCTCCTTGATGTTTGGTCCTATGGTATCTGAATTGGTTTCGTTTGTTGTTTAATACCGCACTCAGCAATATGCCAGCTGTATGAGGGCAGTCTGTAAGTATTCAGTCCAGTGATTGACATCATGTCTATCAATCTACATAACTGAGATACGATGAAATGCATCAACCAAATGTGACCACTGATCCCATTAGTCGCCTCTTACAACAAGCATAGTCGCCTCTTACGGGTTGCTATTCTACCCTTGATTTTTACGGGTCTATTTGAATTAAGGTCCCTCTTTATCTTTACCTCTTTAACATTAAGGTAATAGCATGGACTTGATGAGTTCATGTTTAGGTTTGAAAACTGCTCAACATGAAAAGTATTTCAGAAAAAGTGGAAAGGTGAGAAGACGTGTGAGCTTCAAGTCATACTTGACAGCTTTTCTCAATGAGATTGCAACACTGTCCCACTTGTTTTACAATGTTGGTGCACCAGGCCTGATTGTGTGCACACACCACCAACTAATCAGTGGAGTAGCCTATTGGTTAAAACATTGGCCTGTCATTTACACATGTTGACACACCCGAGATCCCATTATTACATTGACTTACGACTTGTGCAGTAAGATCACGGTGTGGAACAGTGTTCTAGGATCCATTTCACAAAGCCATCTTAGTGCTATGACTGTCTTAAGTTTGTGTTAAAGTTTATGCGACAGTTGTACCGATATGATCGCTTTGTGAAACAGAGCCCAGGATTCTGTTCACCCAACATGTGTCAAGCCCATTTTTAGTGTCCCTGCTGTAAAGTGGCTGAAACTATTCTGTTTGTTTTCTTGTAGTATCATACTTATGTGTCCTCTTTTATTTGAATAAATTCACCATCATAGCTTCATTTTGGAGTGAGTTAGTGAGTGAGTTGGGTTTAACGCCGCTTTTAACAGTATTCCAGTATCACGGCGTCTCAGCTTAATGTGGGAGAAAAGTCCATAGTGATGCAGGTCTTAGACGTTTACCACTTTGGTGAAACCCACGAGCACGGTTATGGTGCAGACGAACCTAGAAACATAATTGGGGCGAACCATGATTCAAACCCACAATCATAGGTTTCTGGCATGCCCAAGGGATGCAGCTCTGCACAGCAAATTGCGACACCTCAGACGACTGGGACACCTGTGCCCCTGCTTCATCTTGAAAGTGATGTCACCATCTCCATCATTCTCATCGCTAACTTTCTAACATCACAGAATTTCTCTTTCTCTTGTGCTTGAAATTATCAACAAACCAACTGACACATCTGGACAAATATACTAATAATAATAGTCCATTTATGATGCGCTGTACTCCATGCATAAGCATGCTCTAAGCGCTTAGGCCTTTATTAACTGTCAATGGATGAGTGTACACTCAACAATCATTCTCAGCTCCCTGGGGAGTATACAACCCAAGCTGCCTGTTAGGTGCTAGAAGGTTAACAACCATCCTACCAGGTGGCCATTAATTGCTGGGAATATGTATGGGAGAATTTTGCCATAAAACTACCTGCCTGGGGTCCGAGATTCAACAGCAGATGTCAGCAAAAATTCAAAATTAAAGTTCAAAATTGACTTATTCATGCTATTAAAGTTATAAGTAATGTTATGGCAATGTTGAGGGACTTGTTTTTCACTAATAGCAGAACCTATACAGAAAAACATCCTTTCTTTTACTTTATGGCATTGCCTGTAATGTTGGAATGCAATACTAAAGTTCCTCTGAGTTTAGTAAACTAAGCACTTACAAAGATCCCTAATTTGAAAAACAAACACTTTTTCCCAAATTTAGATGCCAAATGAGTGCAAATCTCTGCACATGTTATATACACCACACTGAATGTGTGAAGCCAGGTGACTATCTGACTGACATTGCTTGTATGTGCAGGAGGAGGTGCGGGACTTGTTGTCCAAGGATCAGTCTAAACGCCTGGACCTCAAGGAGAGGCCTGATACTGGTGTTTATGTGAAGGTGAGTCAACACAGTCAATGTAGTCTCAGATGAAAAATGTTATATGATGTTATTCCCATGCACTAAGAAGGATCCATGTGAACTTGACTAAGTTGGGCTTAACAGTGAAAATGAAACGATAATTATGTTTTCTTTGCTATTTCATTAAAATCAGATCTTTTACTCTGAATGCTTCTTTTTGCATGAAGATCAATGAACCCCTGTAAGAGGTGAGATAAGACAATAGCAGTCAGGCTTAAGACACACTAGTTAACAATAGTTCACCTAATTTACTTTAGACCACCTCTGTGGTCTAGTGGTAGAGCGTCCGCCCGGAGAGCGGATGGTTCAGGGTTTGATCCCCGGCCTCGTCATACCAAAAGCCGTTAAAAGATGGTACTTGTTGTTACCCTGTCTGTCGCTTGGCATTAAGGGGCTAAAACAAGGACTGGTCGGCTCAGAGTCAGTATACTGTGTCTGGGTGGGGTATTCATGTTAAACTGCGACATGGTATCTCAGTGAGCTAGCACTATAAATCGGCATCAGTCCGGGCTAGTACAAGCGGCCACACACACACACACATGTGCATGCACGTCGCTATATAAGTGCAATAATCTTCGACGCGACGTTAAACCCAATTTCACCTCACCTCACCTAATTTACTTAAAAGGCTGTTAGCTAATGCAGGGGTTTACCTAGACCTGCTCTGAGGCCTATATTCAGCCTCAAGTTGGAGTACATAACAGTAAAAATTCCCAATTTGTATATAAAATATCCCAATTCCTCACAATTTAAAAAATGAGAACATTAAAAGCATTCAATATGGAACAATATCATAATTGTTTTCCAAATAGACTGCCAAGCGCACTTTGTTTTGAATCCTAGATACATCTCCAGTCTTGGCATATGGGCCAAGTTTTGAAGACCAGAATTCCTAGAGGTAGAAAGTTGGTTTTATATTTACAGTGATTGTATTCACCAGAGGGTTTTGACTCCAGGTATATACTAGGTAAACCAGTAGTAGGAACTGACTGGTGTTTCATGCTGGTTCTGGGGGATAATGCATAGATGCTGTCTATTTTCAGGACTTATCTTCCTTTGTGACGAAGAGTGTCAAGGAAATTGAACATGTGATGAATGTGGGAAACCAGAATAGATCTGTTGGGTGAGATTTGAGACTCTTTGTCTTGTATCATTTGTATTTAAGAGATAAGCGGCGAGTGGGAGTTGTTTATCTTACAATAAAACACCGAAGGGAGAACAAACCATGTGGGATGGATTCTCCCTGCAGGTTTTATTGTGCGATAAACAACAACCAGAACATTCATTTCTAATGTGTGATATCAATATTAGGTACAGCCTCTTTATAAGGATGTACAAGCTATAAGAATATTTACCCGTATTTAAATAATAATGACTCCCTGAATAGAATCCGAACTCAGCAATGTCGGACAAGTCCATTTCATGAACATGGGGGTTAAATTTGGTCTTTTCCACATATTCTCACAATTTTCAAGTTAATTATCTGTACCTTTTCTCCGAATACCGATTGTCACATCTCCCACCTTGGGATGCGATCGTTCGGCCATTGCTTTTATCTACGTTGCCCAGCTACATCTATGATGAACAACTCACTAGACACTTCTCTCTCAAAAATAACGTTCAATTTTCAACGTCATCAAGTTGCAAGCACATATTCGAATCTCCAGAAATGACGTCATGATAGAACAATGTTTTATCATGAAATTTTCCATGCTTCGTTCTTCATTGTTCTTTGCAATTTATTGTGTAGCTATCTTATATTGCTGAATAAATTATGTGTGATGAAAGTTTGAAACAAGAATAGATGTGTTGGGTGAGATTTGATACTGTTTGTCTTGTATCATTTGTATTGCTGAATAATTGACGTGTGATGAATGTTGGAAACAAGAACAGATGTGTTGGGTGAGATTTGATACTGTTTGTCTTGTATCATTTGTATTGCTGAATAATTGACGTGTGTTGAATGTTGGAAACAAGAATAGATGTGTTGGGTGAGATTTGATACTGTTTGTCTTGTATCATTTGTATTGCTGAATAATTGACGTGTGTTGAATGTTGGAAACAAGAATAGATGTGTTGGGTGAGATTTGATACTGTTTGTCTTGTATCATTTGTATTGCTGAATAATTGACGTGTGTTGAATGTTGGAAACAAGAATAGATGTGTTGGGTGAGATTTGATACTGTTTGTCTTGTATCATTTGTATTGCTGAATAATTGACGTGTGTTGAATGTTGGAAACAAGAATAGATGTGTTGGGTGAGATTTGATACTGTTTGTCTTGTATCATTTGTATTGCTGAATAATTGACGTGTGATAAATGTTGGAAACAAGAATAGATGTGTTGGGTGAGATTTGATACTGTGTGTCTTGTATCATTTGTATTACTGAATAATTGACATGTGACGAGTCTTGGAAATAAGAATAGATGTGTTGGCTGAGATTTGATACTCTTGGTCAGGAATCAGCTGCTTGCATTACTGAACTCGAATGGGGCTACAGAATTAGAATAGGTCCACAGCAACATACACTGGTCGTAAGAGGGTTCGGTATCTTCATACCCTGACCGCGTGGAGTGTTTCTCATAATATCAACAACTGGAATGCCGTGTCCAGACTTCATTATTTACAGGGGGCGGTCGGGTAGCCTAGTGGTTAAAGCGTTGGCCCGTCACGCCGAAGACCCAGGTTCGATTCCCGACATGGGTACAATGTGTGAACTCCATTTCTGGTGTCCCCTGCTGTGATATTGCTGGAATATTGCTAAAAGCGGCGTAAAACCATACTCACTCACTCACTCATTATTTACAGGTCACTATCATGTAGTTATAGAATATTTCTGAGTGCATTGGTTGTGTTACAAATTTGATAGGTCAGGTCTACGTTTCAATGAGTCAGCGACATATGACATACAATTTTGCATGGAATATTAGGAATGATTTTGATGGATTAATATTTCTGATTTCAGTGCAACTAATATGAATGAACACAGCTCCCGATCTCATGCCATTTTCATTGTCACTGTTGAGTGTAGTGAGGTACGTCTTAAGTGAATCCTATTTTGTCGGGTTGTTGTAACTCTCAACAGAAGTAGCATTTGTAGTCAACAAGTTCTTCAGTGTTGGTTCGTATTATATTTTGTGTCCATGTTATCGGTAATTGTAATTGTTCTTATGTACTTGGTACAGTGCCTGTCTGTCATATATACAATGGACACGCCCATTGATGTCTTTTGTACCTTAACATAGGAAGTGCAGCATTTAAATTATTATGAAGTAATTATGTCCCAACAAGATTAGTCTAAATGGTAAATAAATGAACTTTTATGAGGTTATTCTTGTAATGCTAGTTTGAATAACAAACAAACCATCACTGATCTTTCTGCTATTATTTATTGACAATTAATTTTTTCTAAATAATATTAGGGGCACGGGTGGCCCGGTCGTCTGAGGCGCTGCTATTCGCTGCGCAGAGTTGCGTCCCTTTGGGCACGCCAGAAACCTATGATTGTGGGTTCGAATCCCTGTTCGACCCGATTATGTTTCTAGGTTTGTCAGCACCATACCCATGCTCGTCGGTTTCACCGAAGTGGTAAAGGTCTGAGACCTGCATCACTTGGGGCTTTCCTCCCACATTAAGCTGACACGCCATGATATAACTGGAATAATGTTAAAAGTGGCGTTTAACCCAACTCACTCACTCACTCTAAATAATAATAGAAGTTGCTTACATCCTGGTGGTATGTTCTGAGTGGTCCAGCAGAATGTTTGGAGCCTTATAACTCACACAAGACACTGGTTAAGCGTAATGTAATGTTAACGAGGTCATTCCTTAATTTTGATATTAAATGAATCATAAGCTTTACTGTCACTCAAACCTCAATATGTCGCTTTCCGTATCCCAACAGTGGAGACTTATTTTCTTGTGGTTCTTAAGTATAAATAGAAGCTGAAGTAAAATCTTATGTTTTAAGTGATCAAAAACATTCTCCATGTATTTGTTTTCAGTTGGGAGTAGACGGTGAAAACCACATCCGTGTTGGCAAGTTGAACATGGTGGATTTAGCAGGCAGCGAGCGGCAGGCCAAGACGGGAGCTACAGTCAGTATATGTTGTAGTCTTTATGGTGTCCGTGGTTGTCTTGGTTAGAACTGGTCCTCAGCAAGCTATGCTAGTCATACACTGTAATGGATAGGGTGGTCAGACTTGATGACTTGGTTGATTGTGTACCCTGAAGGTTCTTTTCTCATATCAATCACTGGATTGTCTGATCCAGACTTGATGGATTACAGACTGCATTATATACCTGGAATATTGCTAAGTGCAGTCTTGAACAGTAAATACGACTGTGACGTTGTGTTCAAAGACACTAAGTGTGAAGAGCATCTTCCTGAGGCAAAGGAATTAACTGACTAGGAAAGTCCAGTTTCCACCCTTGCTGAACTAGGCTAGAATTATGGAGTTATGTTTTGGCTGGACTAACGAGTGTATGCCTAGTCCAAACAAAATCAAGCAACGAAATTGACATCCAGTTCGTAAACTACACTGCAGATTTCGGTCGATTGCAGGATTTGCATAGCCTCATCATAGTGTCAACAGATATTTTCCAAATCTTTTCATGGTTTTAATAAAGGTGCTCATGTGATTTGATGCGCTTCGCAAAGTAGGACCTGTTTTATTACAATATAGATCTTGATTATTGATCAGATTGTCTTCACTTGGCACCACTTTTTTTTTAAGCAAAGGCAAGTGATATAAGAGGTGGAATCTGATTGGTCAATAGGAGGGACATAGAAGGGACAAAAGCCGTAATAGCCACTGGTGGGGCTACGATCAAGCCCAGAAATTCCAGCCTATTTCGGCAAGGGTGGAAACTGGACTTGTTCCACCCTGGTATGATCCTTGGGTTGTTGGGTGATCTGATTATGCTCATATCGATCCTACAGATATTAACTATTGTCTGTTATTTTGTCAGGGTGATCGCTTAAAGGAGGCTACCAAAATCAACCTGTCCCTGTCTGCCCTTGGTAACGTCATCTCTGCTCTGGTAGATGGGAAGTGTTCTCACATCCCCTACAGAGACTCCAAACTCACCAGATTGTTGCAGGGTAGGTGGAGATATCATTAACATCAGACAGCACAGTTTTCATTTTCATTGGTTTCATTCATTGGTTTGCCTGGTCCAGACTTGATCATTTACAGACTGCTATGGCTAATGATGATATGCCTCAAGTATTGCTGACTTGGGTATTTAAGAACATTTACCCACTCATGAAGAGGGTCTGTCAAATCCAACTGCGTTTGAAATGGAGAGAACTTACTGCACTTACCTAGTGTTAGAAATTAACACTAGCCCGCTAGCCCGGGGCTGGTACATATTTCTGTTGGCAAGTATAAATTTCCCAATTTCCCCATTTTTTTAACATTACAAGGGTATTTTATCCTTACTCAGGCTAATAAAGCTTTTCAGTTTAGTTCTAACCCTGCTTACCAAGAATTTAATTTGTAAACTAGCCAAGGCTTTATTAAAAGCAACTGAACTATCTGCTATCATTACAGACTCCCTAGGAGGCAATGCACGCACTGTGATGGTGGCCAACATCGGTCCAGCCAGCTACAACTATGATGAATCTATCACTACCCTCAGGTGTGTAAGTTAACCCTGTGAATCTATCACTACCCTCAGGTGTGTAAGTTAACCCTGTGAATCATTCACTACCCTCAGGTGTGTAAGTTAACCCTGTGAATCTATCACTACCCTCAGGTGTGTAAGTTAACCCTGTGAATCTATCACTACCCTCAGGTGTGTAAGTTAACCCTGTGAATCATTCACTACCCTCAGGTGTGTAAGTTAACCCTGTGAATCTATCACTACCCTCAGGTGTGTAAGTTAACCCTGTGAATCATTCACTACCCTCAGGTGTGTAAGTTAACCCTGTGAATCTATTACTACCCTCAGGTGTGTAAGTTAACCCTGTGAATCTATCACTACCCTCAGGTGTGTAAGTTAACCCTGTGAATCTATCACTACCCTCAGGTGTGTAAGTTAACCCTGTGAATCTATCACTACCCTCAGGTGTGTAAGTTAACCCTGTGAATCTATCACTACCCTCAGGTGTGTAAGTTAACCCTGTGAATCTATCACTACCCTCAGGTGTGTAAGTTAACCCTGTGAATCTATCACTACCCTCAGATGTGTAAGTTAACCCTGTGAATCTATGATTATCCTCAGGTGTGTAAATTAACCATGTGAATCATTCACTACCCTCAGCTGTATAACCTAACCCTGTGAATCTATGATTATCCTCAGGTGTGTGAATCTATGATTATTAACTCTGTGAATCATTCACTACCCTCAGATGTGTAAGTTAACCCTGTAATCATTCACTACCCTCAGATGTGTAAGTTAACCATGTGAATCATTCACTACCCTCAGATGTGTAAGTTAACCCTGTAATCATTCACTACCCTCAGATGTGTAAATTAACCCTGTAATCATTCACTACCCTCAGATGTGTAAGTTAACCCTGTAATCATTCACTACCCTCAGATGTGTAAATTAACCCTGTAATCATTCACTACCCTCAGATGTGTAAGTTAACCCTGTAATCATTCACTACCGTCAGATGTGTAAATTAACCCTGTAATCATTCACTACCCTCAGATGTGTAAGTTAACCCTGTAATCATTCACTACCCTCAGATGTGTAAATTAACCCTGTAATCATTCACTACCCTCAGATGTGTAAGTTAACCCTGTAATCATTCACTACCCTCAGATGTGTAAGTTAACCCTGTAATCATTCACTACCCTCTGATGTGTAAAATAACCCTGTGAATCATTCACTACCCTCAGCTGTGTAAATTAACCCTGTAATCATTCACTACCCTCAGATGTGTAAGTTAACCCTGTAATCATTCACTACCCTCAGATATGTAAGTTAACCCTGTAATCATTCACTACCCTCAGATGTGTAAAATAACCCTGTGAATCATTCACTACCCTCAGGTGTGTAAATTAACCCTGTGAATCTATGATTACCCTCAGATGTGTAAGTTAACCCTGTAAATCGATGATTATCCACAGATGTGTGAATCTATCACTGCTTGCACTATTCTGCAGATCTGTCAACCGATGTTTAGATAAAGTCCAAGAACTAATGTACCTAACATCAGGATAAGGTGTTTACGACAATACGCCATGTCCTCCTGATCAACAAAAAATCATTCAAGGGCTACATGACTTGACAAACATGATACCCTGTGCAGATTACTGCAATTCCCCATGACCTTGTAGTGAGGATTGTCCGTAACACAGTATATGCTGGGTTGTAGATCCTATCTCGTGTGTATGAGATCACGTGTAACCATGGTAACAGTTGAGACCAAATATGAAAGAAACTAAGTAGCCCTGAAGTGTTTCAAATAACAAAGTCTTTGTGCATAATGAGTTTCATGTTTTTTTACTTCTGAAATTACTATCGCTATATAAGTGCAATAATCTTGGACCCGACGTTAAACCCCTCACCTCACCTCACCACATCTGATATTACTGGTTCAGAGTTTCACATAGCCAGTACTGACTGTTTGACTGAGGTGTGTTTGTTTGACAGGTATGCCAACAGAGCCAAGAATATTAAAAACATACCCAAGATCAATGAAGACCCGAAGGATGCCCTACTGAGAGAGTTTCAGGAGGAGATTGCCCGGTAGGTTTGTAAAGGCAGAAAACTATGTGTGTTCATGCATGTGATGCCTGCACTCACTCGGTGAATAATGATCTGTACGGAAATACAGGTCCACAAGCTGAAGAGACTGGGTAAATCTCAGTATTGGACCCGTGAAGATCCAGGGTAGATCCGAGTTTGGTTTTGCGTCTCTATCAACTATATTAGTTATATCACAGCGTGGCTGCTTGACGTGGAGAATAGTTTGAAATGATGAAAGTATTAGATGTTTACCACTTTCGTGAAATCCACGATCATGGGTGTGAAGCATACAGAATATTTGTTTCCATGATATTCGAACGAAGGAAGTATATACCCTCCATATGCCTATTAATGTACTGTTGTCAGCAACCTATGCTTCCCCTGAATGGCGACTATGCCTGTCGTAAGAGGCGACTTACGGGATCGGGTGGTCAGGCTCGCTGACTTGGTTGATTCATTGCATCATATCCCAATTGCGTGGATAGATGCTCTTGATGTCAATCACTGGATTGTCTGGTCCAGACTTGATTATTTACAAACCGCCGTCATGTAGCTGGAATATTGCTAAGTTGCGTTAAACAACAAATAAACAAACAAAATGGCTCAGAATTGTTTTGCTCTTCGGGTGTTTTTTTTACATATTTGAACACAATCAGCTCAAAGATAATTAAGTATTTGGAGGTCTGAGTATACATGGAAGTTTATTTTAATGTGTTATTAGGAATATGCCATGTGTATACAGGTCTGCGTGAAATTTACAAATAATCCTATCCAACATTTTTAGTAATAAAATATGGTTTTATGCCACTTTTAGGAATATTCCACCAATATAACGATGGATGAGACCAGAAATGATCTTCACACATTGTACCCATGGGGGGAATCAAACCTGAGTGTTCACACGACAAACAATTACTTTAACAACTAGGCTACCCCCACATATACCAAGGGTTTCCCTCTACTTCAGGTTGAAGAACCAACTGGACTCCAAAGGAGGTCCGAAGAAGAAGAAGAAGAAGAGAGTGAGAAGAGACAGAAATGGAGAAATAATCGAAGTGAGTGATGACGATGACGAGGATGAGGGTGATGAGGAGGATGATGTGGAGTCCTACATGGAAGCCCAGCAGGAAAAATTGGAGTCCGAGAAGAAGGCTATCCTCAACGATCAGAGCATCATGGCAGAGGTAGGTGGTGAAATGTTTTGGGGACCAGGGTTGAAATAGGTCCCAAGCACCTGTTACTCAGCAACATTCACTCACTCAGCAACATTCACTCACTCAGCAACATTCACTCACTCAGCAACTTTCACTCACTCAGCAACATTCACTCACTCAGCAACTTTCACTCACTCAGCAACATTACCTCACTCAGCAACATTACCTCATTCAGCAACATTACCTCAGTCAGCAACATTCACTCACTCAGCAACATTCACTCACTCAGCAACTTTCACTCACTCAGCAACATTCACTCACTCAGCAACATTACCTCAGTCAGCAACATTCACTTACTCAGAGCCATTAATTCACTCAGCAACATTCACTCACTCAGCAACATTACCTCACTCAGCAACATTCACTTACTCAGCAACATTCACTCATTCAGCAACATTCACTCACTCGGCAACTTTCACTCACTCAGCAACATTCACTCACTCAGCAACATTACCTCAGTCAGCAACATTCACTTACTCAGAGCCATTAATTCACTCAGCAACATTCACTCACTCAGAAACATTCACTCACTCAGCAACATTACCTCACTCAGCAACATTACCTCAGTCAGCAACATTCACTTACTCAGAGCCATTAATTCACTCAGCAACATTCACACAGCAACATTCACTTACTCAGCAACATTCACTCACTCAGCAACATTACCTCAGTCAGCAACATTCACTCACTCAGCAACATTCACTCACTTAGCAACATTCACTTACTCAGAGCCATTAATTCACTCAGCAACATTCACTCAGTCAGCAACAACCACTCAGTCAGCAACATTCACTCACTCAGCAACATTCACTCACTCAGCAACATTAACTCAGTCAGCAACATTACCTCAGTCAGCAACAACCACTCAGTCAGAAACATTCACTCACTCAGCAACATTCACCCAGCAACATTCACTCACTCAGCAACGTGGACTCCCTAGCAACATTCACTCACTCAGCAACGTGGACTCCCTCAGCATGCTCAGTGGGTAAAAGACTGCATACAAATAATGTAGCTTGTCAGGTTGTTTTTAATTAATTTGCTTAGATATGCTGACCATAATTTCACATATATGAAATAAAAAAAATAATGTTTTTCATGCCTTAATATTTTCAGGAATGAAAAAAACTTTACAGACTTTCAGCATAGTATGGGCACTTGGTTACTGGGTGCCCGTACTGGTCAGTCATATTTGTTTGGGGTACTTAATAGCGATAGGGCAAAAATGGTAAATAAGAATTGAGTGATTTTGTCGCTAGGGCCCTTGTAAATAGAGATCACTAACAGATGGTCATGATTGCTTGTAGGAGAAAGAGAGAATCCTGCACGAGATGAGGGCGAAGGAGGAGATACTGAGACAAGAGAAGGACCAGACTGATGCCCTCGCTGGCAAGATCAAGGTCAGTTAGTAACATGGCTTTGGACAATGCCCAGGCCAGCTTTTTCCTTGAATTTTTCTCAAATAAATAACAAGGTTAGATTTTCCCCCAATTTCTAAAAAATTACAGGGAATGAAAGCTGGTATTTACTATTTTGACAAAAAGAGGTGTAATAATATAGCAAGCTATTGAAATAATCACCATTTCCTAGAATTTAATTCAAATTCTTCATATTTTTTTTACTGTTTCAATTTTCAACTATATCAAGTTTAGATAAAAGAATCTATGCTAGGAGTATGTTTTTCTTACGGTGATGTATTTTTCAGTTGAATTATCAAATTAGGATTTAATTTTCATTTGTTTTTTAGAAATGTTTTATCTCCAAGTCAAATTATAGCTAATCATTTGTGCCCCCAGGCTATGGAGAGCAAGTTGTTGATGGGAGGGAAGAACATTGTCGACCACACCAACGAGCAACAGAGGGCCCTGGAACAGCGGAGGCAGGAGATTGCTGACAGAAAGGTCAGTTATCACTATCAGTTAGAGCAAGTTTGGTTTAGCCCTACTCTGGGCTGTATTTCAGTTATATCACAGATTGTCAGGAAGCCTTAAGCCATGCAGGTCTTAGACGCTTACCACTTTGGGGAAATTCATGAGCAAGGTTATGGTGCTGACAAACTAGAAACATAATCAGAGCCATTTTGGGATTCGGACCCTAAGGGTCACAACTGCGCACAAATTGTCGCACCTTTGATGACTGGGTCACCTGTGACCTCCTTTATCATCAAAGTAGTTGTAGTCACTTACGACCAGTTTGGAGATAAACATGATAACATGTGTTTTCAGATTTGTTGTGAGTTTGAGTGTTTGATGGACCGACATTTCGTTCAGATTAATTTGGTAATTATGAGGTTTATGTTTTACTCAATAATTTTGTTTTTTGCAATAATTGAAAAAGCAGCATTAAACTACTCACTGCTGTCTTCAATATTTGTCTTCACTGATATTCATCACCTGTTAGGGGGGGCATGGGTGGCTCAGTCTTCTAAGGCGCCGCGATTCGCTGTGCAGAGTTGCATCCCTTGGGCATGCCAGAAACCTATGATTGTGGGTTCAAATCCCGGTTCGCCCCGATTATGTTTCTAGGTTTGTCAGCACCATACTCGTGCTCGTGGGTTTCACCGAAGTGGTAATTGTCCGAGACCTGCATCACTTCGGGCTTTCCTCTCACATTAAGCTGATATGCCGTGATATAACTGGAATACTGTTAAAAGCGGCGTTAAACCCAACTCACTCACTCACGCACTCTAGTCCCTGAAATGAACATATTTTACAGATAACAACAGTTGTTAAATTATAGTTATGAGCCTGGAGACTCATTTTCAGATGCTGCAGTTATCTAGACTTGCATGGGCTGTATCGGATACTCACTCACTCTCATCACCTGTTTGTCTGAATGAGCTTGAACCTAGTGGGGATTCTGGGTTTGAATTGGTGTCCAGCAACCAATGCTGCATGTATGATGCATCTTAATGGATCAGGTGTTTAGGCTCTGTGACTTGCTTGATTGCATGTCACTACGTTAGACTTTGCTCATAAGATCCTTGTATTGTTAGGTTCTGACTTCATCATTACAGGCTGCCAATGATAGCTGGAATATTTGCTGAGTGTGGCGCTAATTAAACCAATGAGTGTGATGTTTATTGTAACAACTAATTGTATCTTACACAGAAAGTGGAGCGTGAGATACAGCAGAAGCTTGAGGAGAAGGAGGAGTCGGCCGAGGAGATCAAGGGCACGTACGCCTCCCTGCAGCAGGAGGTCGACGTGAAGACAAAGAAGCTGAAGAAGGTCAGGAATACTCAGGAAGACTCAGGATACTTTTAATGCTCGAAACATCACATTGGTAGATTGTTGAGGAGATTCAATCGCAAGTGTCAGATTGTTGAGCAGTGTCGACATCACACTGACAGATTGTTGAGCAGATTCAATCCCTAGTACGCTGTCAGTGTCACGCTTCTGTCTAATGTAAACTGTCCACGGCTTTATGTCTGACACTTTCTAACATCAGTTCATGATCTCTCATCTGTTTCTGGACCCGTGAAGATCCCGGGTAGAATAGGTCTTCAGCAACCCATGCTTGCCATAAAAATCATCTATGCTTGCCATAAGAGGCGACTAACAGGATCGCGGGGTCAGACTCGCTGACTCGGTTGATGCATGTCATTGTATCCAATTTGTGTGGCTCGATGCTCATGATGTCAATTACTTGTTGTCTGGTCCAGACTCAATTATTTACAGCACCTTAATATAGCTGGAATACTGCTGATTGCAGCAACAAATAAACAAACAAACAAACAAACAAACAAACAAATGCTGTGTTTGTGTTCCTGCAGCTGTTCGGCAAGCTGCAGCAGACCAAGCAGGAGATCCAGGACATGCAGGAGGAACATGTCAAGGAACGCCAGGAACTGGAACAGACACAGATGGAACTCACCAGGGAACTCAAACTCAAGTAAGATTCAACACATTTCTTTTCACCAGTAAGAACTGGCTTGAATTGACAAGGCTTCAGTTACTTACTTTGGGGTTTGGCAGGTGACATGCTTCTAATGTCCTTGAAATATATTTCTTGGAAATTAAAAAAATTGCGTTATTTATAAAAGTAGGATGACTAATATCAGAAATTGTTAGTAGCAGCCTAATGTTCAATTTAGATTTTTAATCTTGTGAGCATCATCTCTTTCAATGCTGGGAAAAAATGAAAAATTTCAGCAATATGACAAGTGTTTTGGTGCACAGATTGTGATGCCAAGAGAGCGGAAGGTCGGTGGTTTAATCCTCTTGCCACATCTTACCAAAAGATGTAAAAAAATGGCACTTTATGTTACCCTGCCTGGCATTTGGCTTAAGGAGTAAAAGTGGACTATTCAGCACATAGCTCTCAGTCAGTATACTGTGTCTGATTGGGGCAGGCAGCTCAGGTTGTATGCTCCCAATGGAGCTGAGAATGAAAGTCGAGTGCACACTGATCCATTGACCGGGGTAATAATACTGTAGTGCCATGAGCATTCGCTTGGGGAATGGAATTGGGCTCAATATTAATGGACTTCTTATTATTATCCCCAGAATGCAGGGATTGTTGTTTGAATTATATCAATCACTGGATTGTTTGGTCAGACTTGATTATTAACTGGCTGCAGCCATATTGCTGGAATGCAGCATTAAAAACACACTGACTCACATTATGTCAGTATCATTGACGGATGTGATTTGCCTTGTTACAGACTGCTGATCATTGAGAACTTCATCCCACACGAAGAAAAGAACAAGGTTCTCAACAGGGCTTACTTCGACGAGGATGATGACTCATGGCATCTGAAGCCCATCACCAACAAGAAGTAGGTGCACCTCGCCGACTGCTGACATTTAATAGGTCCCCAGTGTGATACTTGTCTAGGATTGAAAACTAAGTGCCCTTGTCAGTCAAACTGGGACAAATTGTTCATTTTTAAACTTATCCTAACACTATGCAATTTTCCTTCTTCTTCGAAATGTGCTTGAACAAAGTTTCCAGCTTCTGAAAACAATTCACCCGAACACATCCGAGCATCACCATGGTCACCACCCAAACAAATGGGTCAAGCAGTGTAATCTCATGCGTTGTGAGCATAAAAAACCCTTCCTCTACATTGGTCATGTTGTCAGTGAAATAATAGTTACTTCTGCAAGGCATAACGTCAGCCATAACTATAACAGCATAATTTGGGAAATGTTTAATTCCAATTTGGGAATATTACTGGCATTTGCTGCAGATTTAGGTCCGAATGTCAGCCTCTGAGCAGGTCTAGTTATGTCCCTGCCAGCTGCTTGTCATAACAGCCGACTAGTGAGAATCGAGTGGTTACAATGTAATTCTTGATAGTGTGTATCATCATGCATGGTGAGGATTTTTGCTCGATGTGAACAGCACTTGTGTGTCTGAACACCGTTCCACAAAGCGATCGTAGCACTACGACTGTCGTAAGTCTATGTTAAAGTATGGAGGTTACGATCATCTTAGCGCTACGATCGCTTTGTGGAACAGGGCCCTGGTTCCGGGATGACCATTGACAGCTGCTGTGAAATAGTCTGATTATTGTTGACTTGTACTGCAAAACTGCATTTACTTACTCATTTAACCCTCTGGATGCCGAGTGTTTTTTCTGACGCACATTTTCCTAAGATCGGAAAAGTGAAGTTTGTGCGAGCATTGCGCTCACGCGGCAATGGATCTACCTCTGGCTATAAAATTACCCAGAGGTGGAGAATATGAAATTTCTTATTTAATAGTGTAAATTTAACTGTAAATATCAAACCGGTTTTTAAAGAAGACACTCCTAAGTGTTGTCCGAGAATTTATTCTGCGTTGAAAAACAGTAAATTTCTCCGCTTTTTATCGTACACCGATAAAAGTACTGTGCGACATTTTTTTTTATTAAGAAGCTTTACGGAAACTGTGAGCGAACAAAAAAATGCCTAATATCTGAACGACATAATAACATATCAAATGGAGTTATATGCGTATGTATAACGACATAAATTCAATTCCAAAAATAGCATGCCGTAAATGACGAAAACTGATTTTTTCTCTATGACGTCAAAAGGTGACAGAGAGGTTACACACGTACAAAGAAAAGGGGGCATAACTCCGCTATGCTTAGCTCTAGTTTGTTGTAACTCAGGTCACTTGGTGAGAATTAACTGTGGGTAAGGACAATATATTTTCGTGGTGTTTTGTTCAGGAGGAACCAAACTATTCCGACACAAATATCAATATTGAAACTGTACACGTTTAGTTATAAAATATACCCATCAGAAATGATGAAATCGTACTTCATAAAAAGGAGGTAATAGAGAAATGGATGGCCTTATCTAACCTATAACTTTGTCCTTAGATTCCAACATTCTCCTGATTGTGTAAGTGTAATTTGACTAATGTTGCATCATTATTAATGGAGCACAAGCCTTATCACCAAATGTTATGAAATACCCTAAAAATAACACGATACCTTTTGACGTCATGGCTGGTTTTATGTCTTCGATAACGTCGGAAAAAGACGACACTGGTATTTTGATTAATATATATCTCCCCTAATTTCCGTTCATGGTATGGAAAACTCGATGTGTGAAACGGAATTTGACGCTTTTTCGACACAACATAAAATGACTGCTCTCACCAAGTAAATAATGTCTTGAATATGTAAACAATTAGAACGTTTATCGTGTATCTTAACTGGACAAGACACGCACCTGTTTGGCATCAATTTACGTAATGAAATTCCCAAAAGAATATTTCAAAACAACCAGAATTATATTCAATATTGGACATATATTTGTTCATGATTATGCTATTTTTTCTTACACAATAAAAGATGCAAAGAAAGCTCTATTGGTATAGAATTATCAGGGTAATCGTATACGTTTGAACCAACGGGGTACCTGGCATGGGTTTTATTTTTATACATTTTACAATTCCTGGAGAAATAAAGTAAACTGTTTACTATCCTGTGATCACAATATTGAAACAATAATGTAACCATTGATTATATAATGCAAAACGAGAGGAATAATTCGTAAATTGTTTGTGACTAACGCGCCCCTGGTGAATCGTTAGATATCACTGTTCTTTGTATCCAACGACATAAAAGACAAATCCAAGACCAAGACATTTCAGAAATGTGTGCATATATTTTACCGAAACATATTATCCATTTTGTTAAAGTAATATATTCAGTTTTAGTTATAAAATAAAATGAAACGGCTGTTCATGGACATTGGTTATATGAACTTATAATATTGACTTATTACACATCCCAAGAAATATGTACATGCTGCAGTTACATTTACACTTCATCTTGTAACACTTGTCCAAAGGAAAGAAATATCGTAGTCGACACTATAAACCTATCACATTGTTATGTAAACAATGTTCAAACAAACAGGAGATTATCAAAGGTTCCTTCATACATGTTGTGGCCTATGTGTACGTATGATTTCATTTTGAACATTGACAAATATCCAAAGTGAAATTAATTGTGTGAAAAAATGTATAAAAGACATGCAAAATATACACCATAACTGAAACTGTAAACAGCATGATACAGTGATCGTGTGCACTCTCATTCAAGGACCTTCACCTCAAAGAAATGACCAAATATGTACAACAATGTTGACGTATGACATCACTACCTGTGACCCACTTTTACAAAATGGCGTGTACATTTTCAACAGTACGCGGGATTGTACGAGGGGACGTTCGTTGATTCAGGGATCGTATAAACATAAATGTGACATGTAAGTAATCAGAAACATTCTGACAATCTATGTACTGTAATTTGTTGTCATATTTTTCATAGAAACAAACGGAAATAGTCAGAAATTCCGATAAATACCGTTGTCGTTGTGCGTGATTTTGCTTCAGTCATGGCGTCAACCAGAACGGTAACTTTGACCACTACTGTTGAAAATATCTAATCATTGCAATGTATCTATTTGAAATTCCGTACTTCTTCCTACGATTCTCTTCCCATGCATATTCTGAAAATGTTGAGCCAATATATTGAACGAATAGACGAATGGATAGCTCAAAATTGGAGAATATGCTACACTGTGTAAAATCTGAATTTTGCTTTGTTTACATTTCAACCATGTGCAGTTTTTCGAGCACAGCGTTCGTTTTCACACCTAAGTTATTTTGCTTGATTTCATCTAGCCACTTTGTATTGGTGACAAAGACCACTGGTCATTTGATTCTAAAATGTATGAGGAATTCAAGGATGTAGGTATTGCAGATAAGTTTGAAATATACGTGATGTTACAGGCGTCTCATAACCGGTGTACCTGAAACGTGATTTTGTAAACACTATCCAATATGGCGGAAAGTTCACTTCGGCGTTCGTGTTTTCGTTTTTCCCAAAACATTCTAAACGATTCTAGGGTTATCGGAGACGTTTTGGAATGATCATTGGTGATTTCATAAAAGACAGATACCCGTGATCACTAATATGCTATTTTTGAAATTCATTTCTCCGTGTAAATATCCGAAATTTAGATCTCAAAACATGCTGTAAATAACGCCGTGAGTGGTGATTTAGTAATGTGTAAAAAATGGCGACATTTACGATGTACCTAATTTTCAGAGGTCATGTTCAGTACTTTTGCTTGGCCTAAAATGGCAGTGGATGATATCACAGGACAGGGAATTTCCCACCTTATTCAAAACTGTAAAGTGTTGTTGTGTGGGTGATGTATTTTGAATTTTATTCGACTTCAAAGTGAGGGTTGTAGAGGAGGGACATATATGTCCCTCTGGCATCCAGGGGGTTAAGGTTTGAAGGACAAGCCGTAATTTGTGTGAAAAACAGTAAGCAGAAATATATGTTACGTTTATTTTACCATTTTTGGTATTGCTGTCTATTTATATCATGGAAAGGTTGCTAGAGTTGATTTTATGTAGAATTTGTCACAACATTGATATTTTGGTGCCAGATTCAGCCAAGAGTTCGGACTTCTTTGCCTTGTTGCAGATACTCTGTTATTTCTTTAAGTTAGTCTTTATGCATTCTTTTGCAGTGCTCAGTCAATGGCAAAACGTCCAATCTCGGCTCTCGGCAACAGGCGACCTGTTTCAGACTTTGCCAAAGTTTCTGCAGCAATGAAAGGCAACCCACGGTTCAAGGTAACCAAATTGTGTGATATGAAAGGTGCTCGTAAGATGTTGTTCTTCTGCAATCACTTGTCATACCTGGATTATCCAGCTTCTTATCAAACTATAACGACTGCGGGGAATGAATCATGGATTCACACAATATCACACACGTTCCCCCAAATATACTTTTACAGGGGATTACTAGCACACTAATACAAGCTCTCACACATTTTCAGTTGTGTGAAGTGCAAGTGGGTCGCCATTATTGCATTCATATATATATATATCTAAGTTTATGTACCCCCTCCCTCCTGTTATTGAAAGTAGTTTATGTACCCCCTCCCTCCTGTTATTGAAAGTAGTTTATGTACCCCCTCCCTCCTGTTATTGAAAGTAGTTTATGTACCCCCTCCCTCCTGTTATTGAAAGTAGTTTATGTACCCCCTCCCTCCTGTTATTGAAAGTAGTTTATGTACCCCCTCCCTCCTGTTATTGAAAGTAGTTTATGTACCCCCTCCCTCCTGTTATTGAAAGTAGTTTATGTACCCCCTCCCTCCTGTTATTGAAAGTAGTTTATGTACCCCCTCCCTCCTGGTGGCGGTGGGGTAGCCTAGTGGTTAAAGCGTTCACTTGTCACGCTGATCACCTGGGTTTGATTCCCCACATGGGTACATTGTATGAAGTTCATTTCTGGTGCCCCCACTGTGATTTTGCTGGAATATTGCTAAAAGCAGCGTCAAACTATACTCACTTACTGACTGTTATTTAAAGGAAACTTACTAGTCCCTTTTCACAATCTTGCTGACTTGGAGGATGCATGTCATCCATCCCAATTGCATGGATCGAGGCTCATGATGTCAATTACTGGATTGTCTGGTCCAGACTCGATTATTTACAGACCGCCGTTATACAGCTGGAATATTGCTGGGTGTGGCGTTAAACAACAAACAAACAAGCAAACAAACATGTGTGATCGCCTCCATGGTCAAGTGGTAGAGCGGAAGGTCCGGGGTTTAATCCCCTGGCTTCATCATACCAAACGTTGGTACTTGTTGTTATCCTTCCTGGCGCTCAGCATTAAGGACTAAAACAAGGACTGGTCAGCTCAGAGTCAGTATACAGTGTCTGAGTGAGGTATTCTTGTGAAACTGCAGCATGGTATCTCAGATGGCTATAGCACTATAAAATTGGCATTAGCCCAGACTAGTACAAGCAGCCACACACGCACATGCATGCACGTCACTATATAAACCCCATTTCTCCTCATCACCTTTACATGTGAGGGAATATGAGTGGCCCAGGTGCCATATTTTGCTGTCCAGAGTTGTATCTCATCTCATAATATCATAGATTAGAATCCTAGAGTCTGTCTCATTGTTTCCAGCTTTGTCAGCACTGTGGTTTTCATCAAAGTGGTAAAAGTCAGACTTTAATTAGTTCTGGATTTCATCCCACATTAAGCTATAGCTGAAATACAGACTAAGACAAACTAAACGATATCATGTGCTCCATGTTAAACAGAAATAATGCAGTTCAACAGAAATGTCTAATTTAAACACATGTACTTATTCCAATGTCCGTCTTAAATTGTCACCTTCACACATGTTCAGTATTAAACTGAATTAACTTCAGGGAGAAAATATTCTGGAGATTGAAATGGACATGCCCAACAGGACGACCCGTGACTACGAAGGCCCGGCAGTGGCCCCGCGGGTCCAGGCTGCCCTGGATGCTGCCCTGCAGGACGAGGATGACCTGGACATAGACGGAAGGTCAGTGCTCCCAACATGTGGGCTGCAACAATCAGATTTTTTAACTTATCCTGCATTACTCCGTATTGCATTTACTGCTATGTTTGACAGAGAGACGAACTGTGTGAGATCCAGCTGCTGAAGAAAGTTGTCCCAACCAGCCCAGGAGGCAGCGCCCTCTCACAGTCGGCACGTGACCCGGAAGTCATGACGTCACACAAAAAGACATAACTGCTTTGTCACCTCCACGGACGGACGTACTTTGTATCCCTTGTGGAAATTAAAGCTTATTATTTGTTTTTTATATTTTGCGTGTTTCTACATTCATTATATGCTGCTACATTGTTACCTGTTATGGGCCGTGACCTTAGGGTCTTCCCATTCGTAAATTGTAACGTTTATCGCTCGTCTGTGGCTCACGTCACAGTAATTTACGGGCGCAATGTTGTTCCCGCCATTTTGTTTTCTTTCCCGCCATTTTGGCCATTCACCACGTGGCCACGTAATGTCGTGATCTGCGTTTTGAATTCTCTCTTTGGCTTGGGTAATACATTACATTTATGTATGTTGTTTTGGTGTGCTTAAAGCCTTGCCTTTTCGCTACCTCTAAGCGTAATTGTTTCTTCTCATAAACTTCAATATAATACGAAGTTTATGAGTTACATTATGTCTCCCGTACTCTGTGGTTTTGCCACATGGTTACGTGTTTGCTTAAGGCTTTGCCTTTTCGCTCCCTTTTAGCGTACTTGTTTATCTCATAAACTTTAATAAAATATACTGTTTTTGAGTTACTTTATGCTTCCCATACTTTGTGATTGGCCACACATTATGCTTCCCGCACTTTGTGGCTTTGCCACATAGTTATGTTTTGCTTAAATTCCAGATTTTCTGCCTCGCTGCACTTGTTGCCGCGGGAACAAATCTGGCCGGGGCCGCCCCTTTCTGCCGTGATTGTACGACGCCCTGTACTTTCACAAGGCAGTGCCGATGTTGCAGTCATTCGTCGCTGTGATCCTTCAGCTCATGCGAGTATCCAGGACACACCTCGCTCAACGTGCTCGTCGACCCCCACCTACGTTGACGGCAGCAGCGCTCAGCGGAGCTTCACGGCGGCTCCCAACTTAGAGTCTGCCTCCCATGGCACGACATACGACCGTTCACGGTCTCCTACTCCACTGGCGGCTCCAGCGCTCCCAACGTAGAGTCTGCCTCCCATGGCACGACATACGACCGTTCACGGTCTCCTACTCCACCGGCGGCTCCAGCGCTCCCAACGTAGAGTCTGCCTCCCCTGGCACGACATACGACCGTTCACGGTCTCCAACACCGTCAACGCTGATGTCTCCGGCGCCCCCGGCGCCTCCGATGTCTCGGCGCCTCCGGCGCCTCTGATGACGCGGCGCCTCTGATGACACGGCGCCTCCGGCGCTCCCGGCGCTTCTGATGACGCGGCGCCTCTGATGACGCGGCGCCTCTGATGACGCGGCGCCTCCGATGTCTCGGCGCCTCTGATGACACGGTGCCTCCGATGTCTCGGCGCCTCTGATGACACGGCGCCTCCGATGTCTCGGCGCCTCTGATGACACGGTGCCTCCGATGTCTCGGCGCCTCTGATGACTCGGCGCCTCTGATGACTCGGCGCCTCTGACTCGGCGCTCCCGGCGCCTCTGATGACTCGGTGCCTCCGGCGCTTCCGATGACTCGGCGCCGCTGATGTCTCGGCGCTCAACAAGCTTCATGACTTGTTCATGACAAGCTGATGACTCGGCGCTCCCGGCGCCTCCGATGACTCGGTGCCACCGGCGCCTCTGATGACTCGGTGCCGCTGATGTCTCGGCGCCTCTGATGTCTCCGCGCTCCGGCGCCTCCGCATCCTCTGATGTCTTCGGCGCTCAACAAGCTTCAGATCAACAAGCTTTATCAAGCTCAGATCAACGAGCCGACCATCCGATCTTCTACTGCGGCTTAAGGGGCACCATCGGCAATCGCCTCCCCGGCGCCACTGCCCTCTTCTCTTGCTGCCGTCTCATAACTCGTCACACGGAGAAGCATGGTGAAACAACTGTCGCCGCTCCTGTCGCTACTCTCCCGTCGGTCTTCGGGATCGTGACTATCGTACTACTTCCTGGGTGGAATCATTTCAACCAATAGACAGTTGGTCTGATTCAGCTTGCCCACTGAGACGTTATCCATAATCCCGTCGTTTAAAGCGCTATGATTCCGGAGAGATGACCTGCGGGTTTCCATCGAAACAGAGCGTCATGTGAACAGCGTCTGTATCAGATTCGATGACGACATCCACTTACAAAGAGTTTACTTCGTCGACATCGCAGACATCAACGCTGTTCTACCCTACCCTAGCGCCAGCGTTCCTGAGAGAGACTCTTCCTCGGCTCTCCCCGGGTTTTACACGACGCCCATGGGGTTCCGTGTTTTATCGCAAAACTCGGGTACACCACTTGATCGTCTCTCACACAGTTCATTGAGGATTGTCTGTGTGTGGAGTTTGCACCTCAGTTCCGACTCCAAGGCGGTTTTCTCGGCTACTGCGCAGAGTGATTTACATGTCACGTGTCAAGTACTCGGACTGTCAACAACTCCGACCGGATTTAGGTCAACTTACCATGGCAAGGGGTGCCATGTATTTCTACAGATTGGTTTCCATGTCTACCTGTACGCTTGGTGATACCACTCAACCAGGCGCCTGTCGCAGTCCATCCATGCACGGATGTTGGAAACAATAGACCTCCTCTACCAACACGGCTGTCACGAGGAACCTTGTTTCATCAACCCTTCGCTATAAGAACGATAGCGCCTATAGGCGTTCAAGGGATGGAAAAGATCGCCTTCCTTCGTCCGGTTTGATCTTTTCGACTACGACACCTTCCTATCTTCCGCCTTGACTACCGGACACAGTGTCGATTTGATACTTAAAGTCCCTCGGCCGTCCCACTGACCCCTGTTGCATACCTGCCTCGTATCGTGTTGTCGTCCTCCATCGTCACCTCGATATAAGAACAGGAGTACTTATACGCCGCTTCAGGGATGAAAACGATCTCATTACTTCGTGCAATGGCCATATTGCCTCGACTTCCTACTACCCGGTTACGTCGATGCCCCGGCGGTCGATTGTGAAGCTAGTTTACTTCGTCTACTTGAGGTTGGCTCGCAGGCGATCACACCTTTTTCCGAATCGTACCGACGGTACGCAATCGCAGACCCCTGTTGCTGACTACCTCCCCTGCCACCTTGTCAGTGGCTAGTGGCCCACGCCAGCCCACATTGTGACCACCTGTGATCCAGAGATCAACACCATAGGCACAGCAACAGCCTCGAGATAAATGCTTATCCAGGACGGCACTTGCTGACAGTGCATTCTCGGTCACGCCCTGTTGATCGTGTCCACTGACGACGTCACCGTAGTGTGGTGTTTGCGGACCCAGAGTTCTCGCCCCTCTCCCGGCGCTACAAACTCGACCGGCGCCCCCGAGAATAACCATCTTTGGCGTTCCAGGCGCCTCAAGCTCTCCGACGCCTCACGCTCTCCGGCGCCTCGGGCCAGACTATGTGAAACGGTCGACACCCCAACCCTAGATCTGTTTGCCTCATATCTGAATGTGGCCAGCAGTCGTCTTCCATTCCACCTGTGCCGGATACGACCGCTGTGGCAGTCGAAGCCTTCCATCGTTCCTGAGAAGGATTACGCGCGTACGCTTTTCCGACTCCGGTTCTCCCTCCCACGGTTCTTCAGAGATCCAGGCCACTCGACCCCTGCCATTGACTTTGGTCTCGCCTTATTGGTCAGCCAGAAGTTGGGTTATCGACCTCCGAAACATAGCCAGAGACAACCCCTGGAACTTCCTGTGTGGTCCAACCACACGGTCTGTTGCCACACCCTCATACCCGCATGCAGAAAGCCAAGGGCTATTCGGCTAGAGCGACCAAGGCTATTGCTTCAGCCCACCGTCCATCTACAGGGGGACTGTATGCTGATAAATGATGCTTGTTCCAGGCATTTTGTTCTGACAAACACCAGGATCCGATGACAGCGTCACCGCAGATTCTGGATCAGTTCCTTCTGTACTTGTGTAGTACCCGTCGGTTGAAGGGCTTACCACCCCCACATACCTGGTCGCCATCTACTCCGTTCTGGCCATCCCGGACGATCGGAGAAAGACGAAAATTCCCGACCTACGGGCCTGGCTGCGCTCGTTCAGTCTTGAAGACCTGAATACCAAGTTCGGACCGCCTGCGTTGGATCTGAATGTGGTCTTCAACGCCCTTCGAACCACTCCCCTCGTCTTCCTTCTACGACCTTAAGTAGAAGACGGGTGTTTCTACTGGTTTTGACTACTGCCGCTCGAGTCCATGTACAGCACGCCCTCGACGTCTCCCATGCCCGGTTCGAATGCGGTACCCAGGGCGCCGTTCATCATGGACCGTACTGGGACGTCAGCGTAAAGACTCAACTCCCAGGACAGCCTGATAGATCATTCCTTGTCCCCTCCCCCCTCGTCCAGTGTGGGTGCCGAGGATGAGGATGAGCGTCATTATGCCCAGTAAGGGCACTGAAGGTTATTCTACGATCTAAAGACTGCCGCAAGTCTAGGAAACACCTTTTTCTGCCGGTCTCCCCTTCGTCGCTGTCGTTGGTCAGCCGGAATACTTTTCCCTGTGGCTCCGGGCGGTCATCCTTAAAGCGTATGAGCCGCCGGATTGGACCCTCCCCCCAAAGGCTATTACCTGAAATAAAATGAGATCAGGGCGATCGTATTTACACTGGTTCTTCACGGTATACTGTTCCATCCCGTCGTTCAGGGAAGCCTGTTCGTGGCGATCGGACACCGCCTTCACCAACCACTACTTCAGTGATGTAGCCTTGAAAGTTGTCGCCAGCGTTCACAGTTTTGGTCCCTGGTTGTAGCCCAACAGGTCATCTATCTCCGACGCCACTGATTCTCCGATACCCTGAGCGGGGCCCGTCGACCTCTCTGGTGTTTATCACCCCAGACGAGACGGCTCTCTTGCGTTCCGCATTCGCTCTTAGGTCAGTTTTAGTTTTGGGTTACCCGACTCATTCTATTGCTGTCACCTATCCGGGTTTTACTTTTTGCATCAACTCTCGTTTCCTGACGACAGGAATGGTAGTAGATGTGGACACCGGCGCCAACGCCAACGCCGCTGCTTCTCTGGTACCTGAGCGGTGCCCGTCGACCTCACCGGTGTTCCTTGCCTCCAGCCTAGAGGGCTCTCCTGCGTTTCGCATTCGCTCTTGGGATTGGTCGTAGATTTTGCCGCCGACGCCGCTGATTCTTCGATTCCCCGAGCGGGGCCCGTCGAACTCTCTGGTGTTTATCACCTCAGATTAGAGGGTTCTACTGCGTTTCGCTTTCGCTCTTCGGTAAGTTATATATTTTGGCTACACGCCTCATTGTATGTCGGTTACCTATTCGGGCGTTTCGTTTTTGCATCGACTCTTGTTTCCTGAAGACAGGAATGGTCGTAGATGTTCCGGTCATCACTTGTATGCGGTGCGGATTCATCGGACCTTGACGAGGGTTTAATATGGTTCACATCTGCAGGTATGCCCACCAGCCAAGCCGTCTGATAAAGATGCAATACGGAGTAATGCAGGATAAGTTAAAAAATTTAGTAAAATCTAAATATTTTTTACATTTGTATACTTATCCTGCATTACGAAGTCTAAGTGCCCTCCCTTTCGCTACGCTACCTCCCCACGAAGTTTCAGATGTTATGTTTAAAGCAGTTATGTCTTTTTGTGTGACGTCATGACTTCCGGGTCACGTGCCGACTGTGAGAGGGCGCTGCCTCCTGGGCTGGTTGGGACAACTTTCTTCAGCAGCTGGATCTCACACAGTTCGTCTCTCTGTCAAACATAGCAGTAAATGCAATACGGAGTAATGCAGGATAAGTATACAAATGTAAAAAATATTTAGATTTTACTAAATTGTTCAGAGAATATTGTTTAAATTTGTTTTGTTTGTTTGCTGTTTAACGCCGCACTCAGCAATATTTCAGCTAAACGACGGCGGCCTGGACCAGACAATCCAGTGATTAACATCATGAGCATTGATCCACCCAATTGGTATACGATGGCATGCATCAACCAAGTTAGCGAACCTGACCACCCGATCCCGTTTGTCGCCTCGTACGACAAGCATAGCCTAATTGCCTTTTTGTGGCAAGCATGGATTGCTGAAGACCTATTCTGACCCATATCTTCACAGGTCTTTTAAGATATTCACTGGCAGAGAAAATGTACAGGAAATGTATGCAGGACCTAGGAACAGAGTCATACAGTGGCGATAAGAGAAATGTTTGATGTGATGATATTAATACTGAGAAAGGTGATACTGATAAACCACTCAAGAAGATCAAGCTGACACGCCGTGATATGACTGAAATACTGTCCAAAGCGGCTCACTGATTTTGCTTAATGTTAAACTGAAGAACTATCAGTTCCTTTTTTGTTCTCCAGTCCGAGTATCTTCAGTTCACGTCCCAAGTCAGGGAAGAGGAGAGAAAAGACTGTTCCAAGGTGAGTTACCTGAACCAGTGTTTGAAATATTTTTTGAAACCCAACAACAGTTGGGCAGGTGACCCATAACTGTTGCCTGCCCATCTTCATAGTCACCTGCCCCCATTCAGACATTATATAGATTAAAAAGTTGTGAAAAATGAGAGACAAATCGTGTGTTGATTCAGTTGAAATAATGCAAAGAATTACTTGAGAATCTATGAGGCGTTATAATAAAACTAAGTACGTAAGTAGTCTTAAAATTACCTGCCAGACAGTCGGGGAGGGGAAGGAAAATTCCATGCAGCCTGACAGAAAAGTTACTAGCCACGGGCCGGCGGGCAGGCACTTACAATAAACCATGGTTATAACAAACTCAAAGGGACAACTGATTTTAGTAAGATACTACCGTAGTTCATTATAAGCATATATACAACATATATATACAGCAAATGGCAAGGGCCAAAAACTATGTTGGTTATATACGTCAGTTCGTTATAAGCGTGTTTGTTATAAGTGTAATTAACTGTATTTCGGACACTGACCTAAACATGTCTAGTACTTTCAAGAATTATTTCGCCATAATATAGAGTGCAGGTGTCCTTTTGCTTTGTTATTTAGATAGTTGGATCAGATTTTGTGGAAGACTCTTGTCTACTTCTTATCAATTATTGGTGAAATGATGTAACTAGTTCAATGATGGATCAAAATATTCTTCTAGTTGGCACACCTCTATTCCAGAGGGCACACATTCACATCTTTTTGAGTGTCCTGTGGAATGTTTGAAAACTTAATACATTTTGTCTCTGCACTCTCACACATTTCTATTTCCTTTCAGACCACGTACAGCCAAGAAGCTCGGGATCACTGATCCGAAATATCCGACTTCTCGAGGCCTGGTTCCAAAATGATGACTTCAGTGCAGACGAACCAGAACTGCTCTTTCTAAAATTCCAGCTGATATATTCCTAATCCTGTTTGCGAGAAAGCTTCTCTGTACCACTTTCAGAAGAAGTTTCAGAGCATTTATTGATGTATGGCAAAATAAGAACTCCTTGTCTAGTCTTTGAGTGGCCTGTCTATACACTTGCTTCACTTTGCTCTCCACACATTGTAAGTCAGCTCTGTGATTCATCACAGCATGGTGTTTACTCTAGCATTTGAAACTACATCAGCTCAGCTTCTGAAGATTTCTATACGAAATCCTAACTTTGTATGCATTTCACCTTCATGGTATATGTAGATCTGTGCCAATCAAAACTAATTAGTTGATGACATTTGAATTCTTTGTGTAATCATGCAATTCTGATCTTGTTCTGTGATCAAATTGGATGATGTTTCTAGTTGTTATGAAACCTAGGGCAAAGAAGGATTTGACATTGAGGTGATGAAGCATCTAAAAGGATGCGGGGGCACGGGTGGCCCAGTCGTCTAAGGCGCCGTGATTCGCTGTGCAGAGTTGCGTCCCTTGGGCACGCCAGAAACCTATGATTGTGGGTTCGAATCCCGGTTCGCCCCAATTATGTTTCTAGGTTTGTCAGCACCATACCCATGCTCGTGGGTTTCACCAAAGTGGTAAACGTCTAAGACCTGCATCACTTCGGCTTTCCTCCCACATTAAGCTGACACGCCGTGATATGACTGGAATAATGTTAAAAGCGGCATTAAACCCAACTCACTCACTCACTCACACTAAAAGTATAAAAGATGGAGGAGGCGTTTCCTTCCAGTGGCACCTGTTGTCTTATGGTTGAAAGCAGAGCAACACTCCATTGATGAACTATCACAAGAACCAAACATAATTTCATGATAATATTTGTCTGGTTTGACCTTGTGAAGGGTGGCAGGAATACAGACTGTGAAAAACACTGACACAGATATTGGAATATGACTGCATTTAGAAAGTTATGTAAGTATGTAATCCAAATTTGAATTTCACTCCCGTCACTCAGATAGTCAGATTGGGGAGTAGAATAGTGACATGTCTAATGTCTTCATGGTGTCAAATTACACTACTCGCAGCAGTCCATGAAACAGCCAGTCAGAGACCATGAGGTTTTTTTCTCATGTTTGAGGACTGGCCTTTTGGTATGTTCCCTGATAAATTATCATTGGGTAGAAATATTATGAATGATGATGTAAAAAAAATGTCACTTTTTTTGTAAATATCTGTTGATGCTAATAATTAATTGTAGAAAATAAATTGGATCAGAAACTCATTTTTTTTAATGACTGATGTTACATTATGGCATAACAAACTTATGTGATTAACGTAATGTGACTACGTGAAATGGCCAATGATGCGATATCTGTCTTTAGTAAGTTTGTTTGACAATGTACAAAAGGGAGATAACTCTCATTTCACAAGTGACAACTCTGCAAAACCATTGAGACCAGCTTTATAAACATGGCACACATAATATAAGATTTTTTTCGAAATGAAAAACATTATGTCATTTTCTTTCTTATCTTTTTACTGCAAGATTGGACCAACAAGTTAAATGTTCAAGTGACACAATTTCCCCTTGCTAAGACTGTCTTCTTTGTAACCTTGCAGATTATTTGTGTTCATTGCCATATATAACTACAGACCGACCACCAGCATAATGTCACCCTACCTCTGTTTGTCATAGTGTAAAGGTTAGTGATTTTTCAAACATGTTCACATTTACAGTTTTGCTACAGTTGCTTGGAGTTAATTACCAGAAATATTCGTTAGCAACGCATATGCAGTCAACCTTGGATAAAACATGTTTGTTATTTAGGTCACAGCAAAAAACGGCCAAAATGCCTATTCATTTGTATTCTGAGTGTCGTATTTAACATCATGAACATCAAGATTCTTCGGATTTGGTCATATCCAGAGTTGCCTGCACTTGTTGCAATGGTTACATGTACATATTAGCTCAGGAGTATCTTGTCAATGATGTAAATTTTGTTGATATTTGACATAAAATGATTTTCAGTTTTAAGCACATTGAATATGTAAAGAATGTCCTCCGTGGTAAAAAGTAACAATCATAAATTTGCACCAATCCACAAAGATTGTAATCGATGCCTTAGTTAAAATATCTGTTTCATATTCAAGCTTTTTTATCACACGCTGTTTGAGGATCTTTGTAGAAAGTTTTTTCAGTTAAACAATAAGAAACAGTTGTGTGTATTCAAATCAAATCCTTCACACACTTGGCAAGTAATGTCGCTCAACCTATTATATCTCATTAGTCATTCCATTTGCATGCAAAATATTTTATTTTTCAGTCTTTTTTTGCATCACCTTTAAGAAGAGTACCTTATTTTAGTATATTTATTTGTCCTACACAAGGCACATGATATCAATATTGTGCATATGTATGTTTGTAATTTTGTGAAAGGTAAAGGAAATGTGAGGTCAAATAAGTCATTTCAATCAATATGTGTATAAAAATTAACTTTCTCTAAAATGTTTTTAGTTGTGATGATATTGAGGTAATACATCCAGTATGGCTGTCAGCATCATGCTAAATAGCAATCTGTTATTCATAACCTGATTGACACCTGTATGAATAACAATCTGTTATTGGTAACTATATTGAGACATGTACGAATAACAATCAGTTATTGACAACTTGATTGACACATGTACGAATAACAATCTGTTATGGGTAACTTGATTGACACATGTACATTTCACAGTGCTATGAGTTTTTGTTGACTCTGTGTAGTGTGATTGATCAATGAGTAATCAGTGTTGTTTTACTTGCACTATTCTCATTGTGAGTTAGAAGTATCATTTTTTAATCAGGATTTCAATATTCTAGTACACACACAGTGTGTGCCTTAAACCACATGACAGAAGCCCAATTTTCTTGTGAATAATGTATAATCAAGCTGTTAACAACAGATCAGATTGGGGTAGCAGACAGAGGGTTTTTGGCACAGACTGCAATAATATATTTTTTCTTTACACAAACATTCAAACATGTTTGTTTGCATAACATATTCTTTGCACCGTCATAATATTATCAATAGCCTTGATGGTCGGAGTTGACAATGACGAAGTATTATTTGCATCTGAGACATGTTAATATATTGGTATCAGTAGACTTGGCTGTATCGCTGCTATGATGTGACTGATAGTGTTTTTTGCTGCATGTTTTGTTTGTGTCATGTTATTTTGTGTTCCGAGTGAATTAATTTTACAAAGAAAAGATTTATTTCACATATTGCAACAAAAATGTTGAAAAAATTATTTTTTCTAATAATTTTGTTTCTAATCAAATTGATGAATTTGGTGTAATTTTATGAATGACTTCAACATTTCAGATGTTGATCATGAAGTCACTGAAAAAAATATACTGGTGGAACAGGGAAAAACACATCTGAAGAAACCCATTTATTATTTGAGAATTTCCTGATTTTTTTTTGCATAATCAAATATTTCATGTAGAGATGAAATAGATCTTACCTTTGCCCATATAAATCTTATGTTTAGATGCTTTTGCATTTTTCTTAGTGTGTCGTCTAGGTTTGATTATTCCGTCCATATGTTTACTGCATTATTATATGTTTACATTTTTCTTATGTGTTACCATGGTTACTATTTATATATTATTTATGAATGAATTTGTAACAAAATGATGATTATCCTGAGTTCGTCCACATGTGAACATTTTAGGAATGCCTTTTATTTGAGCTTCATTTCTCTGTTAGCTGTGAAAATAAAACAATATGAACACTGTGACTGTTTTGATTCTTTCTGCAGTTCGCTCATCACGATGTTTTGATGGATGGACCATGAGCAACTCTCAGTTTGCTGCTTCTGTTTTTGGTTGTTAGATAACGACACATTCAGCAATATTCCGCCTGTGAGATGTCAACCTGTATATAATCGAGTCTGGTCGAGACAATCCAGTGGTTGTGAACAACTATTCACGCTGTTTGGTTACGATGACGCACAATCAACCAAAGCACCAATCTGACCAACCAATCTATTTTATGGCCTCATCAAAGCATAGGTTGCTGGGGACAAATTCTAACCAGGTTCGGCAGTGGTGTAGCCTAGTGGTTAAAGCGTTCGCTCGCCTGTCGAAGGCCCGGGTTCAATTCCCCACATGGGTACAATGTGTGAAGCCCGTTCTGGTGTCCCCTGCCGTGATATTGCTGGAATATTCCTAAAAGTGGCATAAAACTACACTCACTAACACTCACTAACACTCACTCACTCACTCACAAACCAGGAATCCCCACAGGGTTTTTGCTGTTTTAAGCAACATTCCAGTCCTATTGTGGTAGGCAACACCAAGTTCACATAGCGTCCCAATGTAGAAAACATAACCTTCATCATCAGCCTCTCATTACTGCAGAATGAACTTCAAGTCACCCAGCAACAAATGGGTACCCAGTAGGATGAGATGGTGACATGAATCAAAGCCTTGGCAGCTTGGGTTGTATACTCCCCAGGGAGCTGAGATTGAAGTAATTGTTGGAAAACACTGATCTTCTGACCGAGTCTTTTGAACATACAAGTCGATGAACAAGATGATGTGATATAGCTGAGATGTCCAGGTTTCGAAAACACTATAGCATATTGAAAGTAGGTCACCGTGACCTGATAAAAAGATTTTCAAAAGAAAAAAACGTCCTTTAGTGAAAATGGCAAACATACTTTACAAATGACCTTCACAGTGACAATGACCTTGCAGGTATGTCTTGACATTTCGCAATCTGGGCCCCACCCTATGGATAACATTTACCAAGTTTCATTGACCTCCAGCGAATCCTGCCCAGGTTGTTTAAACAAACTTTTCTTCAGGTTATGACCTCAAGGATGACCATGACCCTTGACATGACTGGTCAATGTACACAAAGTATGCAATCTAGACTGCCAGTTGTCGGTCTTTCATTTTTGACGAAGCCTCAGTGTCTGAGTGGGTTAGATCGCCGACTTTGTGCGCTGGCAATTAGGTGCCTCATTCTGGCAGTGTGGGTTCGAATCCCAGATGGGACTCAACCCCCAAAAGTACTAGAATCTGTACTTTACTAAGACATGTTATCCAAAATATAACATTTATGTTCCCCAGGACTATAAATGAGATATACATAATGCAAGGTCGAAGTGCCTCACTTTTTCGAAAACAAAGCATCAAATTCAGCAAAAATGAAAGTATTCCCCATATACATGAGGCTGCATGACTAACCAGAAAACACAAACAGTTCATTGTCAACATATTGTTTACTTCAAGATTGCTTTACATTTTGTACAAAGCAGATTGAAAAATAAGACTTTTTTTTCTCATTCATTTATCAAACATGGCAACCGATAACTGACGAAAAAAACGTAATAAAACTAGTGAAAGATTGTGACTACAATGATATGTGTAAGTACAGCAAGGAATACATGCATATTGGCACTTTCTTGTGAGCACTAGACTACAACATACAAATTAAGGTTTCTCCTTGATGTGACTCTTCATGGTGTTATTCTTTTACACAGGGTAGTGGGTAAAATATAAGTTTATTATAGTGTGTGCATCGGGGGGTGGGGGGT